CACCGGGTAGAGTCGGTGTAGGTTGGAGCGCTAGGACACTCCCTCTCGAGGTGGAGCACGTGCACTCACGTGCCTCATTCTCGGTGGAGCATCGTAGATGACTAGGATCGTCTTCACGAGACAAAACCGTGGGACAATCTTAGTTGCCAGGTTAGGGTCCGTGGGTAGAAGTCACTAACTCATAGGTGGTGTAGACTTTACGGGGATCCGGGGCTAGGTTGTCTAGCAGGTTCGATAGTATGACTCAGGATTAGTCTCGGGGGAAGTCGGGATAGACTTAGGAGACGGGTAGACGTCGGGTATAATCCTCGGGTTAGCTAGCAGGTATAGTCTTGGACTTTACTAGGAGGGTTAGTTAGACGGTCTAGAGAGTCATAACTAGTCGAGGTCTTAGCTAGTCTTCGGAAAACGGAAGGTGTCGGGGACACTCGTTTTGGGTAGACTAGGTTTGCGTGTTTATTTGTTTATCACGCTGAGACGTACTTATGGTACGCTCGGTAAGGACTCTATTAGAGCGGCACGTTTGATACGCCTAGGATGTGTCGGGAGGTAGAGTTAACAAATGGAAGTAGACGGGAAGCGACAGCGTGCTAGGGTTCATGTTTGGCGTTATATATTGTGTTTGCTTTGCTTCGTGTTTTCTTTTTGCAGGTTTTGCTGAAGAAGGTGGAGATTTGTGGAGTCTTGAGCAAAACCCTCGGTATTGTGTAGAAGCTCTCAAAGCCTCCAGATGAAGCAGAGGTTCTGAAAAACACGGAGGGGCATTCTGGTCTTTTCTTAATTTAGTAAATGAAACCCTAAGGGTTTCAAGGTTGTTCTCATTCGAACGGTTCTGCGTGTGTTTTCGGCCGAGAGACTCTCTCTCGTCCGGCGAGCATAGCTCGTGGTCTCCGGCGCCGTTCCGGCGGTGTCCGGTGGTTCCGGTCGGTTGTAACCCTAGCTACTAAACGCGGCTTCCTCTTCCCGAGACGTAGGCCCGAGCTTTATGCTCGGTGTTGAACTCGTAAACCTCTGTCTCCTCTTTCTTTCTGATCAAACGAGTGTAGATCGGAGAGGTTACGGTGAGGGATCGGTCGATAATCCACTACACAGGAGTTGAAAAGAAATAAAATAAAATAAAATATATCTTCCCATGGTTTACAGTTTGTGTTGGTGAGTAAAAAAAAAAAATCTTATTATACTGCATATTTCATGGTGAGTAATTTTTTTTTATGCGGTTATAGATTTTCATGCGTAGTCGATGATTTTTTTTTAAAAATGTCTGTTGCTGTTTTTATATCTGAAATTTCACTCAAATAGGAACAAACAAATTTGATACATTATGAGCGTATAATTTTATTTTTTATATATGAAATGATCGAAAGAAAAAGAAATTGTTCTCCTTTTCTACCGTGATTTTGCTGGATTTTGTAATTTTCACAAGCTATAATAAGATATATTTGAGCATTTAAATTTTCTTCGGAATTTTATACCACCATTTGGTTGGCATAAAATGGTCGTTATCTGCAAAGATTAAAAACTCTTTACCTCTTAGTTCAAATTGCATTTAATCAAATCAAACCAATATAATATGCCCATTAATTGGACCCTATATACGATTATTTAAAAGCACTGTAATGCAACTCGTCCAAAAATAATATTTCGATAAAAAAATATATATTTTTTAAGTCAATACAATACGAAGTTACGAACGATTGTTTTGTTTAATTTCAACACCAATTATAAAACTAACAAAAAAAAAAAATAAAACAAAACGAGATAAATCATGGTCCCATCAATTATAGGGGTAAGATGGTAAATTCGGGAAAAGAGACTCCCCTTGTGGGCCGGTCCATGACTCGTACGGGCTGGTTCGCGGGCCGGTGAGTTGACTCGTTTAACGACGGAGAGTGACGGTAAAGGTAATGGAGGAGGAGAGAGGCTAAAAAGGAACCATAACCCGAAGGATTTCGGAGATTTGAATATGGCCGATGAGGTGGAGGCGACGGCAGAGGATAAGAAAGATTATGAGAAAAAGTGACAAAATGAAAAAAGAAACCTACACTATTTTATTAATATTTTTTTATTTAAAAAAATCGTATATAAATATCTGAATTTTTATAAAATTTTTAAATAAATATCTGAATTTTCCAAAATTTTTATATAAACACTAAAATTTTAAAAAAATTATCAAATAAAATAATATTTGTTGACGGCTAAGTCATTAATTATCGACGGATTCCGTTATAAGTTTAACGTCATTAATGAATTTTAGTTTCATTTGGTAAATTTTTAAAAATTTGGATATTTATGTGGAAGTTTTGAAAAATTCAGGTATTTATATAAAATTTTATAGTTCATATATTTATTTAGAAATTTTGTAAAAGTTCATGTATTTATATACGATTTTAAAAAAAATATTAAATCTCGTTTATTTGAAATTTAGCCTTTATATTTTTTCGAAACTATAATTTCATCCTAAACATTTACTTTAAAAAATTAACCACTAAAGTTAAAATCGTAAATAAATTTAATTCCGTAATATAATACAATGTCCGCGATACTCGTTTTATGAATTTCAAAATCCAAACTCAAATCTGTCTCCATAAATATTCCACTTTCAAAACTCGATCTCGATTTTCTATTAAGTATCGTTTTTCTTAAGTTGAGACAATTAGACAAACGTCAATGAATACTTCGAAAAACATTTACATTTGGTAACTTACACCTCAAATCCATATGCCTTGAATTTCCATATCATCATTCTCTCATTATATATTTTTTCACTTCATCTAAACCACATTAAGCAATTTCTAACAATTCAAACGATAGATTGGCCTTGCAAACACATTATTTGCTCTTCCAACTGTTACATAAGCAATGTGCTCCTCATCCATGTCAATATCCTCCGAAACCATTCCATAAGGCATCTTCCAATCAAAGGAATGCACCATTTGAGCTAAAACAAGCCTCAAATTCAACATTGCCATCTGCATTCCAGGGCATCTTCTTCGTCCGGAGCCAAAAGGAATAAATTTGAAATCTAAGCCTTGTATATCACTATCTTCATTTTCGTATCTTTCGGGATAGAATTCTTCGGTATTATCACCCCATACATCGCGATCTCTTCCCATAGACCACATGTTAATCAGAACTGTTGATTTTCTCGGTATGTAGAATCCATCAACCCAAACATCTTCCATAGATTCGTGAGGAACCGAAAGGGGTCCAACAGGATGTAGCCTAAGACCTTCTTTTATAACCATATCCAAATATGTTAGCTTTGGTAAATCACTTTCTTGCACCATCTTATCCATCCCAATAACAGTTTCTAACTCCTCTCGTAACTTTTTCATAACACGAGGGTTCTTCAAGATCTCTGAGAAGGTCCATTCGATCGCCTTTGCTGAGGTCTCTGATGCTACTCCGACAATGTCTAGTAGTATTGCTTTGATATGAGTTCGGCTGATGATTTCTGATTTTTCGTCTTGTGGATCGATGGATTGATCTAACAAAGACAGAAGTACATCAACGAAGTCTTTGTGGTCTTTGGACCTGTGATGCTTTTGCTGTTCATGTTCTTCGATGATCTTGTCAAATATTACATCAATTGACTTGCGTTGTGTTTTCATCCTCCGAGCTAAACCCTGAACATAACACGGAGAAACATTTTTAAGACATCTATAGATTATTATTTATGATATTAGTTAGTACACGTGTACAACTTGACATATATAAGCAAAGTATTATAAGCACAAATACAATTGTCCCATGCATTAGTAAAAAAAAAACTTTATATGAGTACAATCATATTTTTAAAGATTAAACGTTGAAGTTTCTCTTTTTATAACCTTAGTTATTATATATTATAATGCTCTCTGCTGTGACCCTTGAAATTTTCAGATGAAAATAAAAATACAATACGAGGTAACATTGCATATACCAATTAAAGAAATCTGAGATTGGATATGATATTAGAAAACGGAGATGTCTATTCAAAAGATGTGTTTTTGAGTTTATTTCTTTTCCTTAAAAAACTGAAAAATCTCAACAAAAAAAAAACAAAATAATGAACTTTTCAATTTTGAAAAAAAAAATACCAAATTTTTAAATTTATCAAATAAATATTAAAATTTTTCAATTTATAAAAAAAATATTTATCTTTTTTATGATTGTCAAAATAAACAGATGAGTTGACGTGGTATAAAGAGATACAAATATATCAAATTATTGTCGTTGGTTTTTTTTATAATTGTATATAGTCATGTAGTTTTTTTGAATCATTTAAAAAATTTAGTATTTTTTTTGAAAATCGCATAAAATTTTATGTATTTTTTTGGATCGATTAAAAAGTTTAGTATTTTTTTAAAATTCATTTAAAAAGTTTAATATTTATTTGACAAAAACAAAAATTCGATGTTTTTTCTATCCAATATTTTTTTATGGATTTTTCCTTAAAAATGGGCGTTTCTAAAAGATCTAAGGAAGAAAATTATTTGGAAATCACATATTATTACCTGAAGATCTAAAGGAGCAAGTAAAGGAAAATAATCTGAAATATTGAAAGCTCCGGTCGTTGACGCAATCTCCTCCAAAAGCTCTTTAAGCTTGTCATCGGCATCATTTTTACCACGTCCGAAAATCATCCTGTAAACCAAATTTTCCAAAAGCTCGACCATTATGTTACTAACATTTACTACCTCGTCCTTTTCCGCCGCATTTTTAAGATGATTCATCACGACACCAATCTCTTCTGTTCTGATTGGTTTAAACTGCTCGATCTTAGACGGATTTAGGAGATGAACGGCATAGAGTTTCCGTACATCTCGCCAATATTTACTGTACGGAGTTAAAACCACGGCCTTGGATCCGTTGAAGAAGATCTCGCCGGCTTGGGTTTTAGGCCGGCTGGCGAAAACGAGGTCGTGGGTCTTGAGGAAGAGCTCGGCGGCGCGTGGAGAGGAGACAACGATGGTTCGGACGGTCCCAAGCTTGATGGACATGATGGGTCCGTATATCTTGGATAAGTGGGTTAGGGTTTGGTGTGGGAGTTTCCCCAACATGTGGAGATGTCCGATGGCCGGCAGGCCACGTGGACCCGGTGGAAGCTTCCCTAGGTTTCTAGAAGATCCGTGCCGTGATACTTTCGCGAAGAGGAATCCGAAGGATCCAAAGAGGACCAAGAGAATTAGGACGACGGCTAGGAGTGACATTGTTGTTTCTTTTTCTTTTCTCTGTGTTAATTTTCTGAGGTTTGGGTGAGAAGAAACCAATGGGAGATGTGCTTAAAAGAATTTTATTTCGAGGAAAAAATTAGTTTTTTATTAAATTGTTTGACCAGGAATTCGTTCATGTGATGCATGAGGAAACTGTTATTGTAGTGCATATATATTCGTACTCCTTGTCATTTTCTTCTGGTTCAAAACAGATGAATAAATAGGAGTGAATGACGATTAGATAGGAGTTGAATAAGAAAAAAGATTATTAAATATATACATCTTCTCATGGTTTTTTTGTTGAATATAATAAAATAAGGGAAATTTCAGAATTTCTATGAGAGCAATGCACCAATTGATTTAAAACTAGGGTGTCAATCTATTGGAGATATTTGTGATTAATTGTAATCTATATATATTTGGAATATTTCCTAGATCGTAGGATATTATAGTTAGGTCAATATCTCTTAATATTGTACCTATATGTATGTGTGTTCGATAACCCTAATACACAAGGAAATTAGTTCTCGTACACAATCTACACCCGAGACCCGAAATCCGATCCGACCCAACTCAAAAATTAGCGGGCTTCGGACCTAAGTTTTTCGGCCCGAAAAAAAGAGCTTCCGGATCGGATTTAAATCGGACTTTGGACTCGAGTCGAGTCGGTGCGAAAGTCCGAAATTTAAAAAGAAAAAAATAACATTTTCAAAAGGAACTAAACGAGCCGATCCCGGACTGGACTTCAGACTTAATTACATAGGTCCAAAAAATCGGGTCGGCCCGAGCCCGAACCTTAAACCCTTCAGACCGGGTGCGGGTTCGGACCGGACCGGTCCAATTGAGATCCCTAGTTAAAATCACTCTAAGTGAAATGACCAAATCACCCTTGTGAAACACCTTTCACTAAAAGTCTAAAAACCCCAATTCTCTTCCCCTATTTAATTTCCTTTTGGTTTGTTCCAAACCGGGTGAAACCGAAACCTTCCCTCTGAACCAAAGGATATCCCTAACTCGGCATCACGACAATATAGATTCCATCGACCCCATCACCTTTCAATGCTTTCACGGATTCCTTACATAAATCCAAGCGTGGAATAATTATATATATATATATACGCCATCGTTCTCTAATGATAAAATTTTTTCCACTTCATTAATCTGGCCACACCTTTAGATTTCACCCCATCGACAAAACATTGAACAAAATTCGTTGTTTTTCTGGTTTACACAATCCATCAAACATAACTATCTCAAAGTTATGAGATTAAGATTTTAACAAAATGTTTGATAATATATCATAGCAGCTTTAAGATGTTGGTGAGATCTTCATCTTTCTTTATTGAAAAAAAAACACAAACAAAGGAAAAATCACATCTTCTTATTACAAGTACGCAGTACTATCTACCGCAAAGAGGGCATCTTCGAACATGTTTAAAGCTTTATTTTCTTCGTACTTTAATATTGGCGCGTAAGAAATATGAAATTTTTAATCATTCAAGCGGTAGATTGGTCGGGCGAACACATTATTTGCTCTTCCAACTGCCAAACCTTGCTTCTCATCCATGTCAATATCCTCGGGAATCATTCCATCAGGCATCTTCCAGTCAAAGGAATGCACCAATTGAGCTAAAACTTGCCTCAAATTTAGCATTGCCATATGCATACCGAGACATTTTCTTCGTCCTGAACCAAAAGGAATAAGTCTGAAATCTAAACCTTGCATATCGATATCGTCATTTTCAAATCTCTCAGGATAGAATTCTTCGGTAGTATCTCCCCATATATCAGGATCTCTTCCCATTGACCAGACGTTAATCAGGACTCGTGATTTTTTCGGTATGTAAAATCCATCAAGCACAACATCTTCCATGGATTCGTGAGGAGCTAAAAGGGGTATAACGGGATGTAACCTAAGACCTTCTTTTATAACCATATCCAAATATGTTAGTTTTGGTAAATCACTTTCTTGGACCATCCTATCCATCCCAATATTAGTTTCTAACTCCTTTTGTAATTTCTTCATAACACGAGGGTCTTTCAAGATCTCTGAAAAGGTCCAATCGATCGCCTTTGTCGAGGTCTCTAGAGATGCTGCAACCAAGTCTAGTAGTATTGCATTGATTTCGCTACGACCGATAATTTCTGAATTTTTGTCTTGAGAGTCGATGGATTGGTCCAACAAAGACAGAAGTACATCAACGAAGTCCTTGTGGTCTTTGGACTTATGATCCTTCTGATGTTCATGTTCGTGAATGATCTTCTCAAATATTATGTCTATTGACTTACGTAGTTGTTTCGTCCTTCGAGCAAAACCCTAAACATAAAACACATAGAAACACTTTAGGACATCCAAACAGATATCTAGAGATTATTATGATATCGATCTTATTGTTTTCATAAGCTCGCCATTAGTACACGTGCAACTTGATTAGATCACTTGAAATCAAATATATAAACACGTCCGTTTAGGTAAAAATAACTTTATATAAAAAAATATAATTTTTAAAAATTTAAAACCTTCTAGTTTCTTTTTATAATCTTAGTTATTACATATTAATCATATTATATAATCTCAATGATCTGAAACTAAAAATTTCAAGATGGAAAAAAAAACTATCTTATAAAAAAAAGATGAAAAAAACTACAATACGAGGTAACAGTTCGTATACCAATTAAAGAAATCTGAGATTGGATATGATACGAGAAAACAAGAAAACTCTGTACATAATATATGTATATGTTTGAGTTGTTTTCTATCTCCTTTGAAAAAATTGCATGTATATGTATATGTATATGTATGCACTTTTTTTTACTGAGATTAAAATTCAACAAAAGAAAAGTAAAGATTTTTTTTTTTTGAAACCACATATGAGATTACCTGAAGATCTAAAGGAGCAAGTAAAGGAAAATAATCCGAGATATTGAAAGCTCCTGTAATTGACGACATGTCCTCCACAAAATCTTTAAGCTTCTGGTCGCCATCATTTTTACCACGTCCGAAAATCATCCTATACACCATATTCTCGAAAAGCTCGACCACTATTTTACTGATATTTACCACCTCACTCTTCTCCGCTGCGCTTTTAAGATGATCCATCACGACACCAATCTCTTCTGTTCTGATTAGTTTAAACTGTTCAATCTTAGACGAATTTAGGAGATGAACGGCATACAGTTTCCGTACATTCCGCCATCTTGTACCGTGCGGAGTTAAAACCACGCCCTTGTATCCATTGAAGAGGATCTCGGCGACTTGACTTTTAGGCCGGCTGGCGAAAACGTGGTCGTGGGTTTTGAGGAATAGCTCGGCGGCGCGTGGAGACGAGACAACTATGGTTGGGACAGTCCCAAGATTGATGGACATGATGGGTCCGTATTTCTTGGATAAGTGGGTTAGGGTTTGGTGTGGGAGTTTCCCCAACATGTGGAGATGTCCGATGACAGGCAAGCCACGTGGACCCGGTGGACGCTTCCCTAAGTTTCTAGAAGATCCATGCCGAGATGTTTTTGCGAAGAGGAAGCCGAGGAGGGACCCAACAAGGACCAAGAGAATTAGGAAGAGTGACATTAGGGTTCCTTTCTTCTTCTAGATTTTCAGAGGTTTGGGTGAGAAGAAACCAATGGGACCTCTATTTAAAAGAAACAGTTGTTTATTAAATTGTTTGACCAGGAATTCATTTATGTGATGCATGCATGTGAAAAATGTTATTTTTGTGCATATTCGTACTCCTTGTCATTTTCTTCTTGTTGGCAAAACATATGAATAAATAGGAGTAAATGATGATTAGATAGGAGTTGAAAAAGAAAAAAGATTATTAAATAGGGAAAATGACATAAACCCACGAATTTAATCAAATATGTAAGAGCAGTACACCAATTTTTAATTTGACAATTTTCTATACTTAATTTCAAATTTTTCCATTTACTCCACCAAATAATAAAAAAAATTTCAATTATCCATAGAAAAGGAATTGACTGTGCCAATTCAACATCCGATTGGTGATGTGGCTCGACACATCATAAAATATGCCACGTTAGGAGACACGTCACATGACATGTCAGCAAATCGGGTCGGTGAAATCGGTTAACAAATTTGAACCGATTTTTGTTTAATCGTTTTTTAAAAAAGGATTTAGGGTTCGAAACCCTAAATCAAAAATCTATCGAGATACTAAATCAGAATTTCTGAAGTAACTCTCCTCTTCTCCTCTCTGGACTCGCCTTTCCGGTGAGATGAACGAGCTCCGGCGTGGCTCTGACTCGTGTCAGTAGTGCCGATGCATCCGACTCATCTCGGTGGTTCGCTCTTGCTTTGTGGTTCATGGTTCGGCTGCTCGTGGTTCGTCGGTGACGCCGCTCTCGCTCCACCCAGATCGAATGCCTGTTTCGGAATGAGAGAGGAGAGAGTTGTTGAAACAGATGATGTCTTTGTTTGATTGAAGACGACGACGAAGAAGAAGAATGGAGAGAGGTGGAGAAGAAGTTCAAGGCCATGACCCGAACACCAGATTTCAATTTCTTCGAGAGGTTGGGAAATTTTCGAATTAATTTGGGATAATTTTGAATTTAATTTTTTTTTAAAAATATTCGACAGGATGGGATAATTTGGCATATTTTTTTGGTATTAGATGTGAATCGTAAGTTGAGACTTAGTATCTGAACTATGACAGATTTTTAATTTAGGGTTTTCAATCCCTAAATCCTTTTTTTAATTTTTTTTTAAAAAATATTAAGCAAAAATCGGTTCGAATTTGTTAACCGATTTCACTACAGATTTGCTGACATGTCACGTGACATGGTATATTTTATTATGTGTCGAGCCACATCATCAATCGGATGTTGAATTGGCACAATCAATTCTCTCGGTGTGGGTAATTGAAATTTTTTTTTATCATTTGGTGGAGTTAAATGGAAAATTTTGAAATCAAATGTGAAAAATTGTCAAATTAAAAATTGATATACTGATTTTACACATTTGGTTAAATTTGTATGGGTATATATCATTTTTCCTACTAAATATATACATCTTCTCATGGTTTTTGTTCATGAATATAATAAAATAGGAGAAATTTCAGAATTTCTACCAATGAAAGCAATGCACCAATTGAGTTCAAACCAGTCTCAGTGAAATGACCAAACAATCCCTCATTAAACATTCCTTTTAAAATCTAAAACCCCAATTCTCTTTCTCGGTTCAACTCTTTAATTTTCTTTTGGTTTGGAAGGTAAAACCGAAACCTTCTTTCTGAACCAGAGGATATTTCCAACTCGACATCACGACAATATAGATCCCATCGATCCAATCACCTTTCAATGCTTTTATGGATTCGCAAGAAAAACCATAAATCCAAGCCTTGAATATTTAGTAGATTCCATCCCATGGACAAAACATTGAACAAAACTCGTTGTTTTTCTCGTTATCTTAAAGTTATGAGCTTGGGATTTTAACAAAATATTTGATAATATATTATGATTTAAATCCATTGCAATCGCATGTGAGATATGGTATAGTTTTGAGTTTGTTGGTTTTGATATGTACAACGTAGACCGATAGATGCGTCGATTAGAAAAGCGAAGAATATATGAATGAATGTGAAGAGAAAATGAAGGGGTAGACCTATGCTTATTTGGGAACGTGTCATTAGGACTGATTTAGAATTGTTGCAAATTCCGAAAAAGATAACGCAAAACCGAATTGAGTGGAAACGAATAATTCATTCGATCGATCCCAAATAAACTTGAGATTAAGACGATATTGATGATAATTGATGTTTTGATAATATATCCTTAGCAACTTTAAGATGTTGGTGAGATCTTCATCTTTTTTGTTGAAAAATTACATTTTCTTAGGACTATTATCGTAAAGAGATATCAACAAACTTTTTTAAGGTTTTATTGTCTTCATACTTTAACATTGATGTGTAGGAAATATGCAATTTCTAATAATTCAAGCGATATATTGGTCGGACGAGCACATTATTTGCTCTTCTAACCGCCAAACCTTGCTTCTCATCCATGTCAATCTCATCGGGAATCATTCCATCAGGCATCTTCCAGTCAAAGGAATGCACCGGTTGAGCTATAACAAGCCTCAAATTTAGTATTCCGATGTGCATACCGGGACATCTTCTTCGTCCTGAACCAAAAGGAATAAGTTTGAAATCTAAATCTTGGATATCAATATTGTTATTTTTAAAGCTCTTGGGATAGAATTCTTTGATATTATCACCCATACTTTATGATCTCTTCCCATGAACCAGACGTTTACCAGGATTCTCGAATTTCCTGGTATATAGAATCCATCAACCCCAACATCTTCCATGGATTTGTGAGAAACCAAAAAGGGTCCAACGAGATGTAATCTAAATCCTTCCTTTATAACCATATCCAAATACGTTAGCTTTGGTAAATCGTTCTCTTGGACCAGCCTATCCATCTCGATAATAGTTTCTAACTCCTCTTGTAATTTCTTGATGACACGAGGGTTTTTCAAAATCTCTGAGAAGGTCTATTCGATCGCCTTTGCGGATGTCTCTAGCGATGATGTAACCATGTCTAGTAGTATTACAATGACATGATTCTTGTTGATTATTTCTGAATTTTCGTCATGTGGGTTGATGGATTGATTCAACAAAGACAGAAGTACATCAACGAAATCCTTGTGTTCTTTGGGCTTCTGATCTTTGTTTTTCCTGTTCATGTTCTTCAATTATTTTCTCAAATATTGTGTCCATTGACTTACGGATAAAAACAAACAAATTAAAGGAAAATTTTATCCTTTTTTTAAAAAAAATTACATCTTCTTATAACTAATATGCAATACTATCTGTCGGAAAGAAACATCATCGTAAAACACTATTTTTTTCATACTTTTAACATTGACACATTAAACAATATTATTCAATTTTTAATCATTGAAACGATAGATTGGTATGGCAAACACATTATTTGCTCTTCCAACTGTAAGTCCGAACTTCTCATCCATGTCAATATCCTCGAGAGCCATTCCATGAGGCATCTTCCAATAAAAGGAATGCACCAATTGAGCTAAGACGAGCCTCACATTCAATATTCCCATGTGCATCCCCGGACATCTTCTTCGTCCTGAACCAAAAGGAATAAGCTTGAAATCCAAGCCTTGGATATCGATATCTTCGTTTTCGAACCTCTCGGGATAGAATTCTTCAACATTATCTCCCCATACATCACGATCTCTTCCTATAGACCAGACGTTAATCAAGATTCTCGAATTTCTCGGTATATAAAATCCATCAACCACAACATCTTCCATGGATTCGTGGGGAACCAAAAAGGGTCCAACGGGATGTAACCTTAGACCTTCTTTTATAACCATATCCAAATATGTGAGCTTTGATAAATCACTTTCTTGGACCATCCTATCCTTGCCAATGATAGTTTCTAACTCATCTTGTAGTTTTTTCATGACACGAGGGTTCTTCAAGATCTCTGAAAAGATCCATTCGATCGCCTTTACGGATGTCTCCAACGATGCTCCAACCATATCTAGTAGTATTACAATGACATGATTTCTGTCGATTATTTCTGAATTTTTGTCTTGAGGGTCGATAGATTGATTCAGCAAAGACAGAAGTACATCCACGAAATCCTTGTCGTCTTTGGACTTGTAATCTTTCTGATGTTCATGTTCTTCGATGATCTTGTCAAGTATTATGTCCATTGACTTACGTAGTTGTTTCATCCTTCGAAATAAACCCTAAATATAGTACACACAAAAAAACACTTTGAGGTTTCCAAATATCTTGAGATTATTTGAAAACTGAAAACTCCATACAAAATATGTATTTGATTTCATTTCATTTTCCTTAAAAATAAGAGCGAGTAATCATCTAATTTGGATAATTAACTTATATATATTAAAGTTTTGTTTGATGAAAAAGATATATTTTTCCATTTTTAGACATACAAGGAGCCGTTTGGTAGGCGAAATCCAATTTAAAACAAAAAAGTTAGCGAATATGTAAAAGAGGGGCCTTAGAGAATGTTTTAGAGAAAATTATTCTCTGAAATATTAAATTAAAAAACTATCCCTAATGACAAAAGAAAAGAAGAAAATTATTTGGAAACAAGATGAAATTACCTGAAGATCCAAAGGGGCAAGTAAAGGTAAATAATCGGAAATATTGAAAGCTCCTGCCAATGACACCATCTCCTCCACCAGTTCCTTAAGCTTCACGTCATCATCATTTTTACTGCGTCCGAGAATCATCCTATACACCAAATTCTCGAAAAGCTCCAACAGTATTTTACTAACATTTACTACCTCGTTCTTCTCCGCCGCAGTTTTCACGCGATCAATCACCCGACCAATCTCTTCTGTTCTGATTGGTTTAAACTGTATGATCTTAGACGTGTTAAGGAGATGAACGACGTACAGCTTCCGTACATTTCGCCAGTGTGTGCCGTACGGGGTTAGGGTCACGGCCTTGGATCCATTGAAGAAGATCCCGGCAGCTTGAGTTTTAGGCCGGCTGGCGAAAACGTGGTCGTAGGTCTTGAGGAAGAGCTCGGCGGCACGTGGAGATGAGACAACGATGGTTCGGACGGTCCCGAGCTTGATGGACATAATGGGTCCGTATATCTTGGACAAGTGGGTTAGGGTTTGGTGTGGGAGTTTCCCCAACATGTGGAGATGTCCGACGACCGGCATGCCACGTGGACCCGGTGGAAGTTCCCCTAAGTTTCTAGAAGACTCACGCCGTGATACCTTTACAAATAGGAAACCTAAGGATCCAACAAGGACCAAGAGGATTGGGGCGAGGGCTAAGAGATACATTGTGGTTTATTTAGCCCCTTTTTTTTTTTAAAGTTTCTAAGATTTCGTATAGGGAGGAGTTTAAATACACGACGTCGGGAGACACTGCATGCATGTTTTGGTGTTATGAGAAAAAAAGACAAGTCAGCAAACTGCACCGAAAAAACAAGAGGAATAGTTGAAGACCATAAACGCGTGTACTCGATCTCTTAGAAAAACGTTTTTCACCCAATTTTTTTTCTTTTTTTTGTCAGCAATTATTTCATTATTTCCATTTTTAAACCTTTTTTGAAATTGTTTTGTTTATTTTTACCGAAATTTGTGAGAGTTAAATTGATAATCTCTCCAATCTCTCTGCGTTACTTTTTCCTATTTGGATATTCCATTTAAAAATCATGTCTCTTTTTTTTTTTTCTGTGTTTCAATTGTGTTCATTTTAATATCCATAATTTTACAAGGTGGGTAGGATGACGTATTCAGTTAAACTCTTTGATCTTTCCCTTTTTTTTTTTTTTTTTGAAAAATCTGTGAAGTTTATCTGAAAGAAGCGTCACATGCATGCAGCAATCACATGGGCAAAACTCTTGGCCTGGACCCAAAACAAATACGGCCTTAAAATCCATTCACGTACGTGTAGCATTCACATTTGAATTGACATATATGACTTTAGACAAAAGGATCATGCATGCGTGTAAAACGAGTCGAACTGTAGACTCCTTCCCGATCCGTTCCATATTTTTTTGAATCGGAATCAAAATAATTGAACTCGGAAAAACAACAGACTGAACAAACTAGTTCGACGAATCCACGAGATGACTCGCGAAATAGAAAAATATTTTTATATATTTTATATAAAAATTATATATTTAGTTTGTTTTGTTTAAATTTTTTTATGATATTTATAATTTTTTTAATATTTATAATATTAAAGTTTTTTAAAAATATTTTGTTGGTGAACTAACGCAATATATATGAGTTAGGCTGATCAATTTTTGACTCGCAAAAAAATTGGATCACACTGAATTGGACTAAAATATTACTAGATCGGAACAAGACAAGGGGGTTGGACTGAGTCAACCCGCTTTACACCCCTAGGATCATGTCTCCTTTGATGATTTTACCATATAGTTTTGATATTGATTTATCTTTGTATAGATATATAGACCACTATTGGAAAATATGTAAAATTTTAGTTTAGATATTAGTGTGTTTTATATTTAAATTGGATTTATATGATCTTATCATTAGGATAGAAATTAATAGTTATAAAAACTTGTTGTATATTTAAATTCATCCGAACATCAATAATACAACAAACGTTTTATTCTGAAATAATATATCAAATCATAGATTTTTTTCGATTGAAATATACGTTTTTTCATATGATATTGTCATCCATTAGGATTTATCTCATAAATTCACAATGAGAAAATGTCAGTTAGTTTTTCGGCTTCATTTTACCACTCATAACGTGTCCATATTATCGTGCTGTCGGAAATAATTTTTCTGGGTGGTACATATGATAACACATTATAGTCTCCGCCCGTTGACCACACATTAAACCATATTTTAAGGACATTAATACTTTTATTTCATATTTAAATTAAAACCGGTGAAATGACATATATGACCCAAAAAAAACGAGGAAAACACGCTCTCTTTTTTCTGTTGATTTTATCCAATATTTGGAAATCCATTAAAAAATTATCTGAGTAAAAAAAATTTTCCAAGAAAAAAAATTATGCTTTATACAATTCTTCGTTCGAAATATCAATTTTTTTAATTATACATCGTTCATTAGAAAATGTATATAAATCATATGCCACATTTGAAATCAGAAAAGAATAACTATTAAACTATATATATATATATAAGAGTAAAGGAAAAAAATCATAAAGTTTACATAATGAAATACTAGATATATATAGAGTACTAAAGCATCATATATATATATATATAAAACATGTAAATTGTTCAAATGTTTCATCCGATTCGACGTCATGAATCTTTCTCGCACTCAGATTTCTAGCAACTAAGGCGATATATGGGTCTTGCAAACACATCATTGGCTCTTTCAACCGCCAAACCGAACTTCTCGTCCATGTCTATCTCCTCGTGGCCATCCCGCTCGGCAGCTTCCAGTCGAAGCAGTGCACCAGATGCGCCAGAAAAAGCCGCACACTCAGCAACCCCATCTGCATTCCGAGGCATATCCTTCTCCCCGACCCGAACGGAATCAGCCTGAAATCTTGGCCCTGGATCTCGGCCTTGATGTTTTCGAATCTCTCGGGACAGAACTCTTCAGTGTTGTCGGACCACACGCTAGGATCTCTCCCCATCGCCCAGACGTTGATCAGAACCCGCGATTTCTTTCGCACGTAGAATCCCTCGACCACGATATCTTCCATGGATTCGTGAGGAATCAGTAACGGCGCCACGGGATGTAACCTCAAACCTTCTTTGATAACCATATCCAAATACGCGAGCCTCGGTAAATCGCTCTCTTGAACCATCCTGTTCATCCCGACCACGGATTCTAACTCGTCTTTCAGTTTCGTCATTACACGAGAGGATTCTTTAAGATCTCAGAGAAGATCCAATCTATGGCTACCGCTGACGTGTCTTGTGCTCCGACCATCATGTCGATTAGTATGGCTTTGACATGAGTTCTGCCGAGTACTTCCGAGTTTTGGTCTTGTGGGTTTATGGGTTGATTTAACTTGGATCGGAGTATGTCCACGAAGTCGTAGTCTTTCAAGTTGCGATCTCTGTCTTCTTGTCCATGCTTTTCGATTATCCTCTCGAGTATTTTGTCCATTGACTCGCTCAATTGTCTCATTCTTTGAGCTAAACCCTAAAATTGGTTCACGAGCCAAAAAAAAAAACTTCATCACATTGTGTGTGTTACAAGTAACAATTAAGTGGCCCATTTTATATAGTTAATTAGTGATGTAAAACGGGCTCGCTCGTTTGGCTCGGCCCAGATCGGTTCGAGTCAGTTTGTTTTCGATCCACCTCATTCGATCCGTTTTTTTAGGAGTCAGAAAAACTCTAACTCACCTCATATACACACACATTAGTGATGTCAAAACGAGTTCGGCTCGCGAGTTGGCTCGCAAGTCATCCCATATTTTTTTTTATCTTGGCTTATAAAATTTGAGTAAAAAAACGGGTCGAAACAGTCAGCTCACCACGAGTTAAACTCATCGTGAGCCCATTCGGCGAATTTACGAACCGGTTAGCGAGCCAAAAAAATATTTATATTTTTTAATAAATTTTAATAATTTAAAAGAAAATCAATTTTAAATATTTTTATTATTTTTAAATATATTTTAATTTATTCTTTATTATATTAAATATTTTTTATTTTATTTTTATTTGGCTCATGAGGATGATCGATTTGGACCGAATGAATTTTTTGGTCCGAATAAAAACGAGCTTAACGAGTTGGATTGAAAATAAGGTAGTTCAAAACGAACTGGTCCGATCTTGTATGAGACTACCCGTTTTACATCAATAACACGCCCAATATATTTTGTGTAGATACAAATGTATTACAAAACTATAGTATAAAAATCAAAATATTAACATAAAAATTAAATCTCTCCTTTTAAATTAATTGATTTGATATCTAAATTATAAAAATTTGTTATACACTAAATTGATATAGGCTTAATAAGATTAGATATTTAAACAGAGTGTTTTAAATTTTTGTTCATTATAATTGCAAAAACACCAATGCAAGTTTTTTCGGAACTCGAATATAAATGCATATATACAAAATGAACATATCCGGGAATTAAGTAAATTACAATTTTTCTAACGTGAGCGTCAGTCGGTTGCTAAACCGGTTACTAAACCGGAGGTTCAATTCTCAATTTTATAACGGTTAAAAAACAGCTGTATTATGTAACTAGGGGTAAAAAAAGTGAACGAACCTGAAGATCGAGCGAAGCAAGTAAAGGCAAATAATCCGATACATTGAAAGCTCCTCCCAACTTCACCATCTCCCCCAAAATTTCTTTGACCCTCATATCATCATCAGCATGGTCATCATGATCATCATCATTGTTGTCACCGCTTCCCAAGATCGTCCTATACAGCAACTTCTCGAAAACCTCGGCCACTATTTCACTAACATTCACGACCTCTTCCTTTTGCCCCGCCCCTCTCAAGCGATCCACCATCAAACCAATCATTTTAGTCCTGGTGGGCTTAAACTGTTCCATCTTAGAGGTGCTCAGGAGATGAACGGCACAGAGTTTCCGAACATTTCGCCAGTACGTGCCGTACGGAGTCAAAGCCACGGCCTTGGATCCATAGGAGACGATCTCGGCGGCTTGAGTTTTAGGCCGGCTAGCGAAAACATGGTCGTGGGTCTTGAGGAAGAGCTCGGCGGCGCGTGGAGACGAGACAACGACGGCTCGGACACTCCCGAGCTTGATGGACATGATGGGTCCGTACTTCTTGGACAAGTGGGTTAGGGTTTGGTGCGGGAGTTTCCCTAACATGTGGAGATGTCCGATGACCGGCAGTCCAAGTGGACCCTGTAAACTTTTGTGATATGAGAGTTTATAATCGTTTAAATGGAAGAGAAGTGTAAAACCTATCTCGGTGAGTATAGTACCGAGAAAGAAGAAGAAGACAATGAGAATGGAAAAATTACTCTCTTGATTCATTTACAAAATATTGTACAAAATATATAGAAGGTCTAGAAATAAAGAAAAGGAAAATATCTAATTACAAATAAAGGAAATCTCCATAATACAAATAAAGGAAATAAATAAACGTTGGCATGAAATTACGTCCACCAAATCAGCTTGTGTATCACCACAAATTAGGCCATCCATCATGTCGTCATACACTTCAACATTCCCCCTCAAGATGATTTGTAGAGAATCGAAAAATCAATCTTGAAAGCGGGAATTACTTGAACCTTTTTTTTTTGTGCTTTTCCAATTCCGCCATTGTTTGACAACAATGAACATTGTTCTTTGAGCATCCTTCTTGTCATAGCATCCATGGTTTTTCTTGATAAATTGTTCCAGTATTTTCCAAAGTGGTTCCTTTGTGTTTGAATCCTGCAAACCAATAAAATTAACGTAAGTTTTATATTCGAATGAATACAAAGACTTACCTTTGATTCTACACCAAATGGTTTTCACTTCCCCATCATTTGAAGCGTCTTTGTACACTTCTTTGGGTAAAAACTTTGTTGTGTTCTCTCTTATCATCTCACGAGTGTTAGGAGCATCGGTTAATAAGAGAAAAGTAAGAGTTTCTCTCTTATTTGAATGATCATAATCCTTTCGATCCTGCCACACTTTAAAGAAACGGTTAGACTTTTTTTTAATAAAAGCAATACAGCATTCTTTGTGACTAAATATATCGTTACCCTTGTCAAAATCATTTTGTAAATCAAATAACAGTAGGAATAATGATCTAGTATGGAAAAATGCAAGTCTTAGTCCTAATTTCACAGTATATGGCAATGGTTCGTCATAGTCATCATACGCATCACTTAAACTTTTATATTTGTTAATATTATATTCATCCGCATTCTTAGAATTAATCTAAATATTTATATTCAACATCCAATCTATTTATAAATGAATATAAATCAAATAAAAAGGAATAGGGAGTAGAAATACCAAGCCTAGAATTTTCATAACTCATAGGCAACATTGAATTGTGTGTAAATATTTTTGGAATAATAATCTCTATCTTGTATGGACTAATCTCCGGAGCTTCTTTCATGAAGATATCAACCTCATTAATTTTGAAAACATTCAGAATCTGAAAGATATCAATAGGTACCGAAAACTCAAATTGAATGGGATAAGAGAAGAAAGGACAAACTCGGTTCTTTGTCTCCGTTTGTTTTTTTTTTGTGCTTTTCCAATTCCGCCATTGTTTGACAACAATGAACATTGTTCTTTGAGCATCCTTCTTGTCATAGCATCCATGGTTTTTCTTGATAAATTGTTCCAGTATTTTCCAAAGTGGTTCCTTTGTGTTTGAATCCTGCAAACCAATAAAATTAACGTAAGTTTTATATTCGAATGAGTACAAAGACTTACCTTTGATTCCACAGCAAATGGTTTTCACTTCCCCATCATTTGAAGCGTCTTTGTACACTTCTTTGGGTAAAAACTTTGTTGTGTTCTCTCTTATCATCTCACGAGTGTTAGGAACATCGGTTAATAAGAGAAAAGTAAGAGTTTCTCTCTTATTTGAATGATCATAATCCTTTCGATCCTGCCACACTTTAAAGAAACGGTTAGACTTTTTTTTAATAAAAGCAATACAGCATTCTTTGTGACTAAATATATCGTTACCCTTGTCAAAATCATTTTGTAAATCAAATAACAGTAGGAATAATGATCTAGTATGGAAAAATGCAAGTTTCTTTATTTCTAGACCTTCTATATATTTTGTACAATATTTTGTAAATGAATCAAGAGAGTAATTTTTCCATTCTCATTGTCTTCTTCTTCTTTCTCGGTACTATACTCACCGAGATAGGTTTTACACTTCTCTTCCATTTAAACGATTATAAACTCTCATATCACAAAAGTTTACATGGTATCAGAGCCTCAAGAGCCATGGTAACCTATTTTTTATTTGCTTCCGCTACTTAACATATATTATGTATATCCCATTTGGTCACATATAGATCTAAAGAGGAGAGTATTGTAATGGCTCATTATTTGTCTCAAGAAGACTTCAATACAATCGTCACTTTCGAGTATATTCGAAAATTCTGAATCATCGATGATACATGGCCTCAAACAACCAAAGAAGAAAGGGACCATGCCCACGATCAAGTGATGGATGAACTCGAGAAGATTCATCCGGATTTGAATCTACAAAAGAGGTTATTATTCAATTTTCTTGGATTTCTTCCGGGTGAGTACAATAATCTCATCCTTCAAATTTTATCATCAACTTCTTTACCATCCGTTCAAGAAGCACGCATGATGTGGCATAAAGAGCATTA